GAAACCGAAACCAGGCCACTCACACAGAACGCATATTCAGCACATTTTTTAGATAGACAAATATGACTGCTGCACTCGCGTCTCATGCAAGAGATGTATAAAAAACCATGCAAAGTTAAAACAGTTAAAACTTTTAGAAAACACGTCACAAATTTGTGGAGGTTAATTCCTTTTAAATACATGATGCTGTTTTGTTCATAATTGTTTATGCAATTTACGAAATTATATTTGATTTTTATGAGTTAATTTAGAAGTAATGCACGTTTTTTTTATAGACAGTCATTTCCTTGCATTGACAATTTAAATGCGCTGCATTATTTTGCTCATTGCGCCCTCCTGTGGCCTCGGGAAACAAGACAAAAGTTTCCTTAAGACCTATTTAACCTGCATATAAAACATTAGGAATGAGATGTTTATTTTGTGTTTGAATATTTGTTGTTTGTCTCAATAAATTGGGTTAATTTAAAAATACAGTGGTTAAATAAAAAAAAAAATTTATATTTCTCTTTGTTTTAAAAAAGGTTATTAAAAATGTCAATAATTATCGATACCGAACGATATGAAACATTATATCGTTGATACATTTTTTAGCTTTATCGCCCAGCCCTACTGCATCATAACCATACATGTGCATCATGATATTTAGATGGTACTCAAAGTACTTCAAAGAATATCATGGTATTACCATGGTCCAAAAAAAAACAAGGTAGGGACTTGGTACTGGTGATAACGGCTGTAGCCTTATCACATGCATGTGGAGACTGTAGACTACACATGCACACACTTCAACATCATTAGTTTTGCAGACTATCCTTTGGGCAATGCACAAATGTAACTTAACACTTCACCGACATTTAAATCCCCCTAAGCAGAGAGAGAGAGAGAGCAGTTGATCACATGCGTCCTGAGTAAGGGGCTATTTCTAGATGGTTTCATCGCTGGTTAAGTGTAGCAGGAAGCAGTGGGGGTGAGTGTTGATTAAAGCATTCTCCTGTGCCAGAGGTCAGCGCTCATGGGAGAACAGACACCGCTGGGATGTATGACGGGGATGTGACATTGATATGGTGTGAAACATTTGATCTTTTGGCTGCGACTCGGCTTTATGAGGGCAGATGAACTGGGGTCTGATAGAGGACACAATGCTGGAGCAGATGTCATATGGAAGCTTTAAATCTTTATAAACCTTGTCTGAAAATGGCATTTTTATCTATTCAATCCGTTATTACATTAATCATAGCACAGGCATTTTGTTTGTGATTCCTTAAGGGCAAAAGTTTCAGACTTTTTTTCTCACAATTCTCAGAATTGTAAATAAACTCAAAATTGAGAGATATAAATTCAGAATTAGGAGATATAAACACAGAATAAAGAGTTGCAATTACCTTTTTTATATTTTATGTCGTGAGTCGTGACAGAAACAAAAAAAAAAACAGAATTGCAAGATGTAAACTTGGAATTGCAAGGGGAAAATAGTCTTGTTGCTGTTTATGTTTTAAAACGTTTAGAAATGTTTATATCTTTCAATTCTGAGCTTGAATCTCGCAACTCTGAGATATTCTTTTCTTCTAAGAATTGTAAGAAAAAGTAAAAAAAAAAAATGTGAGAGTCAAAATTACCTTCCTTATTTTTTATTCCATTGCAGAAACAGGCTTCCATGAAAAAGTGTGATGTCATCTTAAATGTAATTTGAATCTCGCAACTCTGAGATATTCTTTTCTTCTAAGAATTGTAAGAAAAAGTAAAAAAAAAAAGTGAGAGTCAAAATTACCTTCCTTATTTTTTATTCCATTGCAGAAACAGGCTTCCATGAAAAAGTGTGATGTCATCTTAAATGTAATATTTTGTTTATGTTTCACTGGCCAATACGACAGTGACCTTATATATAGTATATACATTTATACTGCTTTTACATTAAATTTTTGTCATTTAACCTTATGAAACCAATGTTTCACAGATTGCCTTTAAATATATTACTAAAACAAAATCCTGACAAACATTTTATGGATGTTTTGCAAGCACACAGGAGCTGTACTAGTATGCCTATTATCTGCATAGAAAACATGACCAAGATGGCCACGGAGTGAACCAAAGTGACTTAAAGGGGTCATATGATGCAATTAAAAATTTTCCTTTCTCTTTGGAGTGTTACAAGCTGTTCGTGCATAGATAAGATCCCTAAAGTTGCAAAGACTAAAGTCTCAAACCCAAAGAGATATTCTTTATAAAAGTTGAGACTCGTCCACGCCCTCCTAAACCACCTCGTTCTAACACGCCCCCACATATCTACCTCACTGTGTGCGAAGAGTTGCATAACACTGCCCAAATGTTCACGCAAAGAAAGAAGGCGTAACTTTTTTTGACAGGACACAACAGGTCACATTATCTGAATGTGGTTGCCACCATAAGTGTAGACCATTCTTATGCAAAATAAAATGACTTTTTCTAGAGATCACTGATATAGATTTTTCATTTAAGTGTAGACCACTGTAAACCTGCTTGTCAAAAGTACTATTCACTTCTACCATTTTTAAAAATGTACATTATATTGTTCATCATGCTTTCATAATGAAAGGCTTTTCAAAAACCCACAAACAGGATGTAACATGATAATATCAAGGCGGTGTATAATACATTCCATTGTTAAGAAAACTTGACGAGGCGGTTTAAGATAAACATCGATGAGCTGATTGGGCAGGTGTGTGAAGGTTTAAGCCCAATGATGTATCATTTATAAATAAATCCAAGGGTTGTCTTGTAGGATAAAGCAGCTCCTAGCTAGCTCTTTTATGCTTTTTCATCAAGCCTCAGGTGATACATATAATGCTTTGACTTTGATACTGGACACTGTACGACATACTGGAAAACCTGAAGTAAACTTCTATTTGCAGTCTTCTAAACTCCTACTATAATTTTACTTCCCTTTAACACATTGTAAAAGATGTTTCTGTGCCTCAGGGACAGAGCCATTTTCCAAAACAGTCCTTTGAGAACTGCACATTTTGACAAAGCAAACTTATTCTTGAGGGAGAAAGCAATATACATCTACAGTATATATAAAATTCTTGAGCAAATTCTAGCCAATGTACATAGAATTTTTGTTTTTGAAAGGAGTATTTTATGCTCACCAATGCGTGCCTTTAATTTATCTAAAATACAGTAGAAAACAGTAATATTGTGAACTACTGTGAAATATTTAATTTTAAATTTGAATTTATTTATTTTGAGCAATTTAATGAATCCATACTGAATAAAAGTATTAATTTCTTACAAAAGACAAAAAAAAATCTTATTGACCCTAAAAACTTTAAATGGTATTGTAAAATGATATTTATATTTTAGTAATTTCCACTACCTGGTCTGAAAATCAAAGTTTAAACATTTTTAAATATATCCATGTTTTCCATGACCGTGGGAACCTTTTTCTAATCTAATCTATTTTCTAATTAAATTTTTGCCAAAGTATGCGGAAACATGGCGTCTCTCTTGACGGAGATGAGGAATACTGAACACGTTAATAGAACGTGATGATAAAGGAAATGTAGAGGAAAAAACAGCTTAATAATAATTCATTTGCAATAACCAGTAGAACCTTTAAAATGCCAGATGATAGTGAGGGGATGCAGACAGGAAAATATATGAAACGATAAAGAATGAAAGAGACATAGCTGAGAAGGTCATCGGATGATGGAGAACATCCTTCAAACAGAGATAAACGGATGCAGAGGAGATGAAAATTCAGAAGAGTAGAGCCAAACATTTGGGTCTGGATGTGTGAGTGAGACAGAGTCAGTCAGACAGACAGAAGGGAGGGACAGTTAAGACACAAAGCAGACAAAAGAAGCACCAAGAACCCTGCAAACTGCACTGGGAGAGAGAGATTAGGTTTGAAAGAGCAGTCTGACATCTCAGCTTACTCATCATTGCCTTTGAGTGATTTAAACAATATCTGTCGCATTTAAAAATGCTTTTCTCATTCACATTGACCCACAACCATTACACATACACACAGTAAAATCAGTGAAGCAAGTAAACTGTGTGACGCATCACATTCACACAGATTCAACATGTTTTACAAGTACTGAAAGGTACACAAAATTTGTTTAAAATGTCTTGTTTTTGGAAGTGCTGTGGGAAAAAAAAGTTAAATTAAAGGTGTAATAAACGAGTACTCACTCCATCATGGAGGGGGGGATGGTGCAGCAGTCCTGGATGGCTGTGAGAGGGGAGGTGAGATGGGCCGTGTAAGAGGCTTCCACCACCTGCTTGTTCCTGTTCACCACATCCAGGTACCGGTTAAACTTCTCACGGATCTTTTTTGCTAGCTGAAAACAATAAAAACAGATGTATTAATATTTCTGCATATCAAAATTCAATAATGTCTCCCTGATCAGTGTGTTCCAGTGATATTCCTATTTAGGAATTCAACTTAAAGGATAATTCACCCAAAAATGAAAAATCTGTCATCATTTGCTCACCTTCCACTTGTTCCAAACCTATGTGAGTTTCTTTATTCTTTAAAACACAAAAGAAGGTATTCTGAAGAATGTTGGTAACCAAACAGCTGACAGTAGCCAATGATTTCCATAGTGTTTTTTATCCCATCCTATGGAAGTCAATGGCTACCATCAACTGTTTGGTTACCAACATTCTTCAAAATATCTTCTTTTGTGTTTAACAGATTTGGAACAACTTGATGGTGAGTAAAGGATAACAATTTTCATTTTTAAGGTGAACTATCCCTTGAATTTTTGATGTTGGCCAAAAAAATGTCATATATATATATATATAATTTGTTTATTTTCAGTTTTCCAGTGTGTCCAAATTAGAAGCATAGACTGAAATGTTTACCACTTGAATGCAAAACTGTCCTTTTTTTTTATAAATACAGAATAAATTAATCAAATATCACTTTGATATACACATTTCTTGCTCGAGAACTCTCTTTCCATTACTCCTGTGAAATAAGCTGAGATTAATTCACCTTCCAAATCTAGTCGTGCACTCTACATCAAAGAGAGCTTGAACTAACCTTGGAGACTAGCAATCGATCACCATTAGACATGCATTGTCAGCTGCTGCAGTGCCAGAGGCATTGGTAAAATGGTTTGGTGATATAAGGGAAAACTGAGTTCATAAACCAGAAGGGGTTTCAGAAAACTGGGATGTTGTTTTAACTTTGGGTCTATACGGCACTTGTGCGAAGGAGTTACGGCTGATTAACCATGTTTCTGTGAATTCTGGTTTACCCAATGCAGACTTGAGTTCCCTGGAGAAAGTTATTAACTAGAGCAGCAGCTCAGCTAAGAGTTTCTCCTCACACAGCACATAAATTACTCACACATGAGCCACTTTCTTTTCACCAGATGTTTTAGTAAATCAAAACGTGCACACATACAAAACATAATTCTTAATTCTACATAATTCTAACAACAACAATACATAGGACTCAAATTTTAAGGCAAAAAAACATGATAAATCTTCTCCAAGTCCTGGATTGGAGAAACGTTGCATGACCTATTGACAGTGAACATCCAATCAGCTGCCTGTTTCAGCCATTGCTGCTAAACTTCAATGTTATTCTTTCAAGTTCACAATCCAAGGGAGACATTCCCACTTCTGACAGGTCAGAAAATAACACTATTATCCAGAACATCAGTACATCTAATTCTGTACAATCTAATCAAACTTTCAAGTCTTGAAAGAGTTGGAAGATCACTTAAGGTTATGCGTTACTGAGCTCAATCCACAATCCTGGCTTTAGAGAAAAATTTTGATAAAATATCTACATAACTAAAAGAAAATAACTAAATTTTTCAAATAAAAAAATGACACTTGCAAGCTACAGTTAATATCAAAGAAATAATCTAATTTATAAATGTCTTTTATGACAAACTGTGAAAATTAGATTGGGGTATTTTCCGAGGTCTGTGTCCTAGCTCATTAAAATGGTGACATTAAGAGAAGACAGGCTTACTTTGTCTTTGTGTCGCTACAAGACATGGACATGATCCTAATTGGTGCCGTTTTCCACTGGGGTGCCTTTTCAACTTGCACAAATGGCAGTGCCAGTCCTTCATTACCATGTGTGCACATACACAAGACTGGCAGATGTTGACAGCATTGCCAAACGAGCAACTGATGAAAGTCAAATTTTTTTAGAGGAACCCAGAATAATGGGATTTGTAGTTACAGATCTAAAAGGTGTTATTTCATAACCTTTACAATGAATAATAAAAGAAGAACTAGAATGTATTAATATATTGTTTTCTATTTTTTTTTCTTTCTCTCGTAAACTAATGGTGATCAAAGCTAATCAAATATGACATATTTGTTGGCTAACATGGTTAACAATGTTAATTCACTTTACCTTGGGAATTTCTAATGGGTTTTAGAAGGTTTTTTTAGTTAGAGTAAACCAATGCCTGTGGTTAAAATCACTTAAAGAGACATGAGTTTACATGCCTGACGAACATAACCATTGTAACAACTTGTTAGCAACTTAAATTTTCAAGAACACACAATGGTTTAAAAATCTGAATTATGACTGGGTTATTTGTGTTGCAGAACAAAAATTCACAGTCTTCATTATACTCAGATGAACAACCATTATTCTTTCTGTATTCTTTATTCTTAAACAAATTTGAAATTCACAAGGCTTGAATATGTTCATTCTCATCCTGATTTGGGACAACAATCTGAAGAGCTCTATTAAACAGAAACTAAAACTAGGTAAATTTAATGCAATACAGATTTCAGAGCTAAGAATAGACTGTATTTAGGCTGCATCACCATACCACAAAATAATACAATAAAAATAAATATATAATTATTCATTTCTAAATTTCACACATTTATGTGTGCTTACTGCTGCATATTAAGCCAATCATTTTAACACAAAGTAGTTTTCATACATGTAGAAATGGCTTGACCGAATTTGATCAGCAGAAAAAGGAGTTTCACATCCTCTTAAATGTAACACTTCAATAAGTCTGAATCTGCCCAGCTTAGTCAATTACACCAGCGGCAAGATCCAAAATAGTAGAGTGAGCAATCATTTTAATTTGTCTTCCTTCCCTTTTTATATGAGTACATCCAGTGCCAATTAATGAGGAACAACAAAACAGCATTATAGCATGACAAAGCCTGAGTCACTTCATAATCAAACACGTTCAGGTCTCGACTGCCTCAGCAGGCAGAACGGTTTATCAGCATCTACCCCCAAAAACCCTGTTTGGCAATTAGCTGTCGAGGTGTCACTAGTAAAACCTGCCAGCGATCGGCTTAATCTCTCACCAGCAGCTGGTAAATAGCTGCAGGTGAGAGGGAACGAAAGAGAGAGAGAGACAACGTACAGGAATAATTCACACAAAAGGGCTTCTCTTGGCACCGAAACCCAAGTGAAGAGTGACAACCTGTCCGTTCTTGCTCAGGGCGTGTGTGTGTCGCTGAGAAACACATTTATGGGGTACGAGCGCAGTTGCTGCCACTCATGCTGATTTGTTTTGAGGCTGGTCAGAACAGAGCGTATTAACATTGAAAGCTCTTTATGCCTTACAGCAAAAACAGAAGCTGGAGTAGGCATGAGGGAGAGGCCCATGGCAAGAATAAATCACACTAGACCATGACAGGCTTACTGTCTTATAACTGACAGAGGAAAGAAATGCATTCCCACAGTATCAGACGGAAAAGTACTAAAATGAAATTCCATGGTTACTGTGGCCTAAATTATTACTTTTAATTTAGCTATGATGATACATATGCACACACTATATACACAGTTGTGCTCATAAATGTACCTCACAAAATAATAATATATTTTTTAAATAATACATTTTTTATATATTAAAAAAAGGGATCATAAAATAGTGTATTTAGTTTGAGAGCCTGCATAACAAATAAATGAACTTAAATGAAGTTATTGATGCTCAAGGAGGCAACACACACAATATTAAGGAACAAGGGTATTCATACTTTTGAACAGGACAATATGTAAATTCTGCTATTGTTTTGTCTTGTAGAATATAGCTTCATAAGGGATGTAGTATTTTTAATAATAAAAAAACATTATGACCTCATTTAAAAAAAACTGTTTACAGATTCTGCAAAGGGTACTTATAAGCAATAAAGTTTATGAAAGCATTATAAAAATGCAATTAAATTAAATTTGAATAATAATAATAATAATAATAAATTAATTAAATTTGATCAATAAATAACTACATACATACAATTTTGAGCAGATCCAAGTCCAACAGGGTACTTGTTAAATTATTACACTTATAAATTATTTGTGATAAAGTTGTTCTTGATCAATTCAAGCAAAAACCTGGTATGATCTCTGAAGGTTGTCCAAAGGTCAAAGGTAGGGAGGGGATAAGGGTGGGAGATATGGCAAAAAATATCATATCACAATTTGTGGTGTGTGTGTGTGTGTGTGTGTGTGTGTTTAAAATATTCAATCGCTAAGTGGCTTTATTTATTTATTTATTTATAAAAAAAAGCCAATTATAGATCTAATTAAACATACAGGGTTCTATACACTTTTTTTGTATTGCATAAATAATGTTATGAGATTAATGTTTCAAATATAAAAACTGGAATATAGAAATATGAAATGATAGAAAAAAAATAGAATGCTACTTTCAAATATGAAACAAAAATTGCCAGTAAGTGGCGGCAAGCCACTGTCTTAATAAGTGAGTCAGTGAGTCATTTTATTCAATCAATTCTTTCAAAACAACAGATTTATTCACAAAGTAAGGAACTGTTATTATGAATGGATCAGTGAATCATTGACTCACCGATTTGTTCAAATTCATTCAGTAAGGAAACACTGATGTGTGTTGCTGCAGAGACGCACGACATGGCTTTGTTTGGAACCATTTTCTTTAGCGAAATAGAACAAAAAAAGACAATAACGTCTCTACGATTTAAATCACTTAATATTTATGTCTGGGTAATTGAATTGTTGCCCTGACACTAAAAAAAGTCTGCCACAGACCCTGTTAACCAAACCGTTCATATAATCACTCTAAATGCGTATGTGTGAAATACTGCATATAATTCTTATTAAATATCTATATTTGTTGCTTCACAGTGACAGTGCTTAGCAACAAATAACCTAATTGGACAAATGGCAAAATCAGTATTATAGCAACAAGTTATACAGTAAGTTACAGATACCTGAAGCAGCTGCTGTAAGTTTTTATCGATGGTTGGTCAGTTTACATGTCGGTCAGAAGTACGAGACTCAGTGGGCGGTTCTTGTCAGAAGTGAATGACAATGTAAGTAGACACTTTTGGATGTGCAGAGAGCAAATCCGCGGTTCTAATAGAAATTATTTTAATGTGCATGAAAACTCAGTGATGATGCGTACAGGGCATAGTAATAAAATCATTCGGGGCTTTTTAAAATTGAAAAAAAAAATGTATGAAAAATTATGAGACTAAACGTTTCCTTTATGCAACCTTTTCACATTGAAATAGTGTACTCTAACACAATATGACAATTTCAGCATTAAGCCTTGAAAACCATGACAACATAACTTTAAAATAGACATTGATGCCATGGGTATTATACAAATACATAATTTTCCTGTCTCATTCTGTTAAATGTTATCCATACTGACAGACAGGCATGTCTGTAATTGAACAAGCTCTTTTCCTAATGCCGCAGAGTTTTAAAATGGTTTCTAATCAGAGAGTTTTGATCATGGGCCAAATGCATTGACGTTAGAAAGAGCTAAAGCATGAGCAACCATCTTCTCATTTCTCTAGAGCTTGTTAGGGAGGGACACAGTGCAGTCAATAGAGGTTGGAATTAGTGTTTCAGCAGTAAAAAGAACAAAGATGGCTTCAAAGACAGCAGACAGCAACTGGAGAATTTTAATGAGTGTCCTTTGCCCCTCTAGACCACACACACACACACACACACACGCACAGCACTCACTCAGTATCAAGGGATGTTGATGAGTAACTCACCTGCTGCACCTCTGTTTCACCATTTGAAGTCTTCTCCGTGTACATAAAGGAGTTGAAGATTCTCTGTGTGGAAAAGAAGAGAGAACAGTTGCTGAAAGCTGACAAATAAAAGTAAGGAGCTGCTAGACTGAAACACAAGAAGAATATCTGGAAGAATTTATCCGTATGCACCAGGACTTTTGGTTAATGATTTTTTTGGTCATTTTTTTAGTAGTGTGACAGTAGCTCAGTTGTGTTCAAAATAGTGTAAAACAGTTTTCCAGTAATGAGCTACTTTTTCCAAGATGCAGCACAACAAAACACATTTTTTAATATTCCATTGTCTTGCCAAAACAACTTCACAGCAAAGTGAGCTGTTAAACATTCTCTCTCAAAAGTCTGATTCATTCTAGTAAATCAGTTCATTTGAAAGAATCAATTAAAAACAATTAATTGACTGGCAAACTGAAATTATCATGATTCAGTATTTCAGTATTACTGACAGTATTTCTATTTATTGTGAAACATTTAGTTTAACATTTATCACCAGATTTTCAACTTAGATACACATTTGAACGTTTTTTAGTTGAATTTAATGTCAACTTATTTGTTTGAATTTAATGTTTATATCCTAATTGTTTTTTGGTCAAATATAGCTTATGCTAACTGTTCTATATTATGAGTAGCTTTTAATTTAGTAAGCTACAGGTTCAAAGTAGCTTCCCTAAAAATGGTTTCAAAATGCCTTCTCACATTATATGCTCATTTGAATAATTGATGTTAATTACTAATTATATTTTTTGGTGGCAAAATTCCTAGAGAAAGAGTGTGTTTACAGAATTCACAAGTTTCAGGTGGATTTCAAGTTTCATCTAGTACCTTTTACCTAAATGTACGTTTTGCCAACATGATGCTCAATCATAGGCACAAACACTAGATAAACACCAAAAGCCAACAATTACATTACATACTGCACAAAAGCTCACCAAACATTTGCTTAAATAAGACTGCAGGTGTTTTGTGTAAGGGTGTATTCACACCTGTCTTGTTTGGTTGCCTCCCAATTTCCACCTAAATGAGCTAAGGAAGATTAAACGTTTCTATGTCTACACCTTACCATTGTAAACCTTCAAAAATAGCCTACAAGCTCAACAGTTCCTCACAATGACGATATTTGCTCTTTGCACACCTCATTACCGTGGCAATCCTGACACGGAATATCGCTGCGGAATGTGTCATAACAACTTGATGGATTCCCACCTCATCCAAAAAAATCACTCGCCATGAGGAGGACTGATGATCTTTAACACTAAGAAGAGAAGAAACTCTTTTAGTCACTGTGTAATGCGTCTGAGGTCAGGGTGGTCACCCACATTAAAGATGATGAAACGGGCACATGTCCACACTCACCTAAAGCCTGGAATTTCATCACCAGCGCATGTTTATAAAAAGCAAAACAAACTGTGGGTGATGTATGAATGAGCCCCAACCTTTGTGAATAAAGCTCCAGACACAGAAGCTGTGGAAAACTAAGTGAAAGAAGAAACTTGTCATTTCAGACCCTTCTTGTAAAATAAACAGGCACAAACACAAATAGCACATCGGGCACCAGCACAGGTCTTTCCCCGGTGTGGTGGGTTTGTTTTTCGAACTGCTCCGATGGCTTTCACAGCTTTACCCAGGCCAGAGAGGAATTTCGCAGCTTGTAAGTTGAGAACCCTCTCAACAAATGTGAAACTCTTGAGAGGAAGGTCTTTGAGGTAAGAAAACTGATAAAAACACAGGGCGCTAGACTATTATTATGGTTCCAACATTTCACCTAAACAAGGTTTCCCTTACAGTCGATTCAACCTCACTATGACTATGTTTTGTAAAAGATTTGAAAGTTGTGTGTATGTGAATATGTATCTTAAGTTTCATAAACTGAAGTATGTATCACAGTAAAGGCTCCCAGATTATTTTGAATAGGACATGACTGACGTTTAATGAAGAGGTCAGTTACGACTCTAAATGATTCCCAAATTAGTTTGACTTAAATAGCAAATTCACAAGAAATTCAAAATCTAAACATTAAGTTTTTTATTACCAAGACCCCCATTGTCCACAAAAATATTTGAAGGCCCCGTGACTTTTCTACTTGTTTGTGATTATCTGGATAACGAATTTTAGAGCTTGGCATAACTGGAAAAAGTGTATTCTAAAAAAGTGCTCATGGAGTTAAAAGATCTGATTAATTTTCATGACTTTTCCTTTAGTCTAGAAATCATTTTTAAAATTAGGCTACATCATATATCCAGGTTTTTCAAGTTCGTGGGAATCATGGTTCTTGTTTTGTCTTATTTTAAATCCTTTTAAGGCATCTTGAGGCCCCCTGTTTAAGAACCACCGCTTTAAGGAGACAATATGACAAAACTGATGATATGGACGGAAACAAAGTTTTCTCAACTGTCACCAATGGTGACTAGAATTTAAATTATTGTTGCAATTGTTTATCGTCACATCTGTGACCACTTTAGTCTCGGTCTGTAGCCCTGCAACAACAGAAAGAAACAGAGTAACATCAAGCTATGCCATCAGCAATACTCAGTGCCTGAACTTTACAAATCGACAGGACTCTTCAAGCCCTCTCCATGTTTGGACTATCCACCGTCTAATCCTCACAGACAAGTTGACATTAACATGAATGATAAGCTATAGGATTGTAAGCAATAACACATTGCCGTTCAACTAAGTGGGGACAAAGAAGCCTATGTGCAGCTGCATTGGCACAGAATGTGGTGTCCAGGGAGGTTATTAATCTTGTCAACCCCAGGGTTAATCTTGACTGCAGTTGAATAGATGTCTGGAATGACTGAACCTCATGCTGTCTTTGATCCAGGCTTGTCAAGGCTCCGGCACTCCCTTCAACAGAGGCACGGCAAGGCAGATTGACTAAAACCAAGCCCTCCACAGGGTGGTTAATTATATCAAAATTTCCATCTCTCTCAGCCAAAAAGCAGCCACTTAAGAATTATTGCCTCCACCTAAGGAATGAAACCCATAAGTCATGTCCATATTTCAATACACAAACAGAAAAATGCGCCGTCATTCCAAGCATACCTCATAGAAGTTGCACAAAGCTAATAGGCACAGATGAACTTATTGGATTTTAACTGCACACACTCTTCCGTAAAGTTTCCAGGCATTGGTTTTTGGAAACAGCTGATGCGCTATGGGAGCGGAACAACACTGGAGCCGCGGCGTTGATGCTCAGCAGCATTTCCATTAAAATGGTGCGATGGAGGGGGATAAACCTATTAGCAATTCAGTCATCTTCAAAGGCGAGAGCCCATCCAGCTAATCCTCATTAATTTGGGATTGTACAAAGGAGTGAAAGGGTGTGTTCACATAACGCAATGAGCAGAAAAGGTGCCGTAATCCTCTCTTTAGGCCTACAAGGTCTAAATCATTGGACTGACCCTCCCTTAACACCGCAGTAAAGATGTAGGTTAAAGAGCAGTAATGTGTTTTTTGCTCTAAGGTAAGTCAATGTGAATTTCCATTTGCAACCCATATTAATTCTGTAAACTCAACTCAAACTCATATTCATTCATCTGTAACTTATTTGATAGCAAAAGTGGTCGTTACATAAAATAAGGTCACAATGATTGAGAGTTTGCTAAAACAATGACTAAACAAATATTTGGCCATGTGGTGGCTATCCAAGTGATGTCATTGGAAAGGAAATGTTGTTTCAGAGGAAAAGCAAGTGGTTACATTCTAAAGATTAGAAAAATAATTCAACTAAATAATTTATTTATCATTATCATTTTAAGTTGAATTCAAGATTGCTCATCAGTCATGAGGGATGTTAGGAGATGTGAAATACGATAATGAAATATGACAGGGATAGTTCCCAAAAATGAAAATTCTGTCATTTGTACTCACCCTCATGCCATCTGTGGAACACAAAATGTGATATTTTTGAAGAATATTTCAACTGTTTTGTCCATACAATGAAAGCCATTTCCAACACTGTAACAAAACAAATTGGCTTTCATTTTATAGACAGAACAACTGAGACATATTTTAAATATATTTTATTTTGTTTTTCCACAGAAAAGGGAAAGTACTGTAGGTTTGGAATTAGAGGTCTGCATTCCCGCGGGACCCGACCAGATTTCTTGCGCCGCGGGATTAAATTCCGGAATAAAACGCGGTAGCGGTCGGTAACTCTGGTGTAATTTGAACGGGAGTGGGCGGTCTAACAATATACCATTCCCGACGTCCATTCAGAACAGCATATACGCGCTTTATTCTTACTGACCACCGGTATGCACTCGGACTGTTATGCACGCGCTGCACGCACGCTTTCTGCATCACGTTTTATTTGTGGGGTCTGTGCGCAGCATGTGCATAACGATGCTCAGAGCAGGCTGTACGGATGGAGCAAAGTGTGGATGCGCTGTCCTTGAAGGACGTTCAACTCGGTTTTGTTTATATTTTGCTTAGCATATAATTTTAAATGACAGATGTTGTATTTATTTTTCTCTGCGACACTTTTCCTACTGTGTTAACAGAAAAATGTCAAACGAATTTAGTATTTTGACAAGACGAATAAAAATAGCTAATAGGCTATTTTTGTACAACCTATATTTTAATTTTTTTCTCTCTGCGACACTTTTCCTACTGTGTTAACAGAAAAATGTCAAACGAATTTAGTATTTTGACAAGACGAATAAAAATAAGAAATACAATTTTTGTACAACATTTTTATTTTCTCTGTGACACTTTTTTCCTAGGCCTACTGAGTTCTATAAAATGTTAAACTAATTTTGTGTCTTAAAATAATTCATATAAATTCACGTAAATAAATTCGAGACTTACAACAAGACGACAAGACGAATAAAATAAATACAATTTTGTGCAGACTACACTTTTATTTGTAAGCCTACCTCTCTTTCTTTCAGTAGTGGAAATTGAAATTAGATTCTGGATACGAGATCTAAATTTAGCGGGAACGGTCGGGTTGGGAAGAAAATTATTCTAAGCGGACAGCTGGAGAACAAAGAGTGAATATATAGCGGGAGCAGGTGTGTGCGGAA